GAAGAAAATTAACTCTATCCCAGCTGAAAGCAGGACACCATTATGAAATGCAGTTTTGGTAAAATGTGAGAGTAAAGTCACTAATCTTAGCTGAGTAATTCAGAAACCTAACGTCAGATATTCAAATCCCAAACGTTAACTGTTTTAGCATATAATTTCAGCAGAAATACAGTATTAATCAATCAGCTGTTCTTGTGTAGTGCAGTAGCTAGCAGGGAATAGTAAACAGAGTGGAAATAGGTTGCTATATTAAAATTCCTTTTTCCAATTATTGTATCTCTTCATTCTGTCGAGGATCTGTCCAAGGAACTGTTCTGATGTAGTTATTAAAATGTGCATATTTTTTTTTCTCAGTTAAGTTTTACTCTGTTGTATTTTTCAATACTATCATTTGTGTCTCTTCTTGCATGTTAGCATGCAGGAATATGGTGAACACTCTCTGTTCTTTCCTGCATTTACTTGCTGCAACCATTGCTGATATTCTTTATCTGAGGGATTTTTTTGTTAACAGGATCTTAAAGGTTTAATTCATACTTTCATACCACTACTGCTTTTTCTAGCAAATTGCCTTCAAGAACCTTGTTCAGCGAAACCGTCAAGCAGAACAACAGGCAAATCGACCGCCACCTTCCAATTCTGTCATCCATTTGCCATTTATCATTGTGAACACCAGCAAGAAGACAGTGATTGACTGCAGTATTTCAAATGACAAGTGAGTTAAAGTTTTCTATCTGGCTTTTGGTACAGCTATGAGTTTTATGTCCATGCTAAAGTGTTCATCTAGATTTTATAAAAAAGATACACAAATAAATTTGCTCGTGCCTTTTTTGTAGATGGAGAACATGCATTTCAGACAGGTAAAACTTAGTCATGTTAAATTGAAACAGAGTTTTATAGAGCTTTTTAATAAATAGAATAATTGCATTCACATTTAATAACTTATTTAAGACTTACTACCTAGCGATGTTAGAAGCAAAGTAAGGCAGCTCTGCTCAAGTTTGATATAATACTTTACCAAGTAGTAGTGTTTTCCTATGGCTTTAACATGATGAAATGCAGCCAGCAGAATTGAAAATGGATTTTGCTTTCGGTACTGCTGTTCTCTACTTTTGGTTCAAAAAGCTAGGTTTTTCATCTGCTAAATAAAAGCTGAATGTAGCAGTGGTTTCTACTTGCACTATTAGTGTACTAGAAAAGCTGAAAACCATGAAAAAAAATACACACAGTAGGCAGAGGAATGGGATTAAAGAAAAAAATTATCAAACATGCAAAATGTTTAATTAAAACTCTGTTAAATCTGTTAATGATTTATGTAGTGTGTATAATTACAGTCGCTTGCTATCAAATGCATAAATTTTGAAAAATTTGATTGCTTAATGTGATGTGTCACTAACACTGTGTGTTAAGCTTTTGAAATGCTGCAATTCCTGAAACTGGAAAGGTAGTTAAAGTAATTGAAGCTAATTAAGACATTTTTTCCTCTCCAGGTTTGAATATCTATTTAATTTTGACAATACTTTTGAAATCCATGATGATATAGAAGTACTAAAACGAATGGGAATGGCTTGTGGGCTAGAATCTGGAAGCTGTTCAGCAGAGGACCTAAAAATTGCAAGGAGTTTGGTTCCTAAAGCTCTGGAACCATATGTGACAGGTTAGTTACTCCAAGAAGGGTTGTTTTGTTTTCCTCCTTAATACGGGACTCAAGGAAAAAAAAACATGAAAAATCTAAGATCAGTTAATTTTCACTGGTTTGTGGTGAAGATTTCTGACAAGTTCTCAAATATATATGCTTTTTAGTGTGCCTTGGGGATCAAACAACATACTCATAGAGAATTCATAGAGAATGGGCTGTGGCTTTTTGCAGAACCATGTTTTTGCATTATGCCACACAAGTAGATCTCTGCAGTGTGTAATTCTTTTAAGGGGACAGTATTAATAGTTGTTTCCCCTGCAAAGGCAAAAGGTAGTAAGCACAAATATGGTCATGTCTTCATTTTATATTGTTTTATCATTTTCATTACATAAGAATACTGAAGACATCCAAGTTGCTCACTTCAAAATAATTTTTTTTTTTAATGTATTTTGAAATTTTGCTGTTGCACTAGCTTCTTGGGTTTTGCTTATGCTATTTTGGCTATAGTACATCAGTAGGTTTTGTTGTTTTGGTTGCAAGATTCCTTTTCTGGACTTCAGAAGGATTAAGCATTTCCACTGAATTAGATGAGTGTGTTTTGAAGCATTCTTGAAATACGTATTGTTCGTTTTACAGAAATGGCTCAGGGATCAATCAGCAGTGTATATGTCACATCTTCATCAGGTTCTGCATCAAATGGCACAAGATTTTCAGCCAGGTGAGATGAAATTATCCATTACTTTTTAAAACCTGTGATCATCAAAGAAACTTAATTAGAGATTAAATACTTCATGAAACAAGTTCTGTTTTGATTAAATGTGGTGTGGATATGTGTTTAAATTTATTCTCAGACATCGCTTTTACTTGAGTAGTGGTGGTTCTTGCCAGTGTCATTAAAGAAATCTTTTCCTGTATAGTGGAAAAGAAATTGATTAGACTGGTGTTAGTCTTGAATGTATTATTTTTGTTTAGGTTTGCATTTGTGACAAGAAAACAGATACTTCCCTAAAGATTTAATATGGGCAAGATTCTCCTTTGGTTATTAGTGTCTAACTTAAAAAAGGTTTTGGTCTTTTGGTTTCAAACAGCATCAGAAGCTGGGATAGTGATAAACCTAACTTGTATTTAACTTTGTGTGGACATACATAATTTCTGAACTTAACTCTTTTTCTCTTGCTATATAAGACACTCTTCCTTATGTAGTCACTACTTGCTAGTTTCTCACTGTTGCATTAATCAAAAAGAGTCCTTTTGTGAGCTCTACTAAGTTGTAAAATGAGTTGAATATCATTGAAATGTTTAATGTTGTTAGCAAATATTCAAATTGAGCAGCTGGTTTGCTGAACAAATTACCTGAAAAAGTGTTCATTTTCTACCAGTTGTTTCTGTTGTGTCCAGAAACTTAGCATTATCTGAAAAGTTAATTAAATTTGTTGTATGTGTAACGCAACTAATCCAATCTGGGCAATTTTAGAATTGCAGAATGGTTTGGGTTGAAGGGGATCTTCAAAGATCAGCTAGTCCACCCCCACTGCCATGCTGAAGGACATCTTCCACTAGATCAGGTTGCTCAAAGCTGCATCCAGCCTGACCTTGAATAATTCCAGGGATGGGGCATCCGCAGCTTCTCTGGGTGACCTGTGCCACTGTCTCACCACACTCATCGTAAAAAATTTCTTCCTCATATCTAATCTAAACCTACCTTCTTCCTGTTTAAAACTGTTGCCCCTTGTCTGTCATTGCAGGCCCTGGTAAAACATCTTTTTTCTGTATATCTTATAAGCTGCCTTTAAGTACTGAAACTACACAATAAGGTCTCCCCAGAGTCTTTTCTTCTCCAGGATGAACAACCCCAACTCTCCTCAGCCTTTCTTCATAGGAAAGGTATTCCAGCGCTCTGACCATTTTCATGGCCCTCTTCTGGACCTGCTCTACCAAGTCAACGTCTATCTTGTACTGGGGACCCCAGAGCTGGATGCAGTACTCCGGGTGGGGCTTCATGCAAGTAGAGAGAGAGAGAATCACCTCCTTCAGCCTGGTGGCCATGCTTCTTTTGATGCAGCCCAGGATAAAGTTGGCCGCCTGGGCTGCAAGCACACATTGCCAGGTCCTTTCCAATTTTTTGTCCACCAGTACCCCCAAGTCCTTCTCCACAGGGCTGCTCTCAATCCCTTCATCCCCCAGTCTGTACTGATACTGGGGATTGCCCTGACCCATGTGCAGGACCTTGCACTTGGCCTTGTTGAAGTTCAGGAGGTTCACATGGGCCCACTCCTCAAGCCTGTCAAGGTCTGTTTATGTGGCATCCCTTTCCTCAAGAGTATTAACCTCACCACACAGCTTGGTGTCATCCACAAACTTACTGAGGATGCACTCAGTCCCACTTCTTGTCATTAATGAAGATACTAAATAGTATTGGTCCCAGTATGGACCCCTGAGGGACACCACTCGTTACTCGTTTCCATTTGGACATTGAGCTGTTGACTAAACTCTTTGGTCATGGCCATCCAGCCAATGTCTTATCCATCAAATAGTCCATCCATCAAACTCATATCTCTCCAATTTAGAGGTAAGAATATTGTGGGGGACTGTATCAAATGCCTTCCAGAAGCCCAGGTAGATAACTTCTGTAGCTCTTCCTTTGTTCATTGATGTGTTCACTTCATCGTAACTTCCAGGAGGATCTATTCCATGATTTTAGCAGACACTGAGGTGATGCTGGAGAGGAGAGGGCAAGTTCTAGATTACTTTGGCTCTTTCCACAACAATGACTGTTCTGTGTGTCGTGGTTTAGCCCCAGCCAGCAACTAAGCACCACGCAGCTGCTTGCTCACTCCCCCTACCCCAATGGGATGGGGGGAGAATTGGAGGAGTAAGAGTGAGAAACACTCCTGGGTTGAGATAAGAACAGTGTAATAATTGAAATAAAGTAAAATAGTAATGATAATAATAACAATATAATAATGATAACAACAATAATAATATACAAAGCAAGTGATGCACAGTGCAGTTGCTCACCACCCGCCAACCAATACCTAGACAGTTCCTGAGCAGCGATTGCTGCTCCCCAGCCAACCCCCACCCCCCCCCAGGTTCTATACTGAGCATGACGTCATATGGTATGGAATAGCCCTTTGGTCAGTTTGGATCAACTATTCTGGCTGTGCCCCCTCCCAGTTTCTTGTGTACCTGGCAGAGCATGGGAAGCTGAAAAGTCCTTGACTGGCATAAGCAGTACTTAGCAACAACTAAACCATCAGTGTGTTATCAACATTCTTCTCCTGCTAAATCCAAAACACAGCACTATGCCTGCTACTAGGAAGAAAATTAACTCTATCCCAGCTGAAACCAGGACACTGTGTCAGAATCACTGGCAGGCTCTGTCTTGTAGTTTATTTGGGAAATTGCTATATCATTGAAATTCTTAAGGAAGTCCTAATTTTTAGGACATTTCTTAAGCTGTATGTGTTTAAAGGCAAAAATCCTGTATTGATAGGATTTTTTTAGACAAAGAAAAACAGCTTTATTCTTGTTCACCGAAGACAGTCTTTTGGCAGCTTTTTCTTACCCATCTGCCTTCTGTCGGAGTTGCAAGGAGGTCCTTCTGAAGATACAGTACCTGGCTTACTTTAAAAGGCTAATGGAATTACATTTTTAAAGCATTTCTTTTTTTAAAAAAAACCTTTTTGTAGATGATAGGCTTACTTGAATGCAAAGCAAAAAAAAAAAAAGTAGGAAATAACTTGCAAGGGAAACAGTTAAGCTCAGGGTTGTGCAGGACTAGCAATGGTGAGGAGTGTGGTTTATACTCCAGCCTGTTCCTGCTGCCCAAAAAAGTGTGGGGAATTCTGCCTGTTTTGTGCTAGGGAGCTGAAGCTTGAGTGAGAATACTGCCAAAATATCTTTAGAGAAGCAGAACTTACACGGTACATAAAATCTCCTGTTTTCACTAAGGTTCCTTCTGTGATAATGAGCATGGCATTAGTGAAAAAGAGCCCATATATTTTTAAAACTTTGAAATTTGAATAGGCCACTACTAGCCAGAGGCCAGTAGAAAACCAGAGGCTGACTGTGGTTCATTCTCTTGGTGAGAAGCACAAGAACTCCTACCACTTCTGTTTCTTAGGAGGCCAGAAAAGGGGGGTGACAAATTCTGTTTAATTATAGTGCATATATAAATATTCATGGCAATAGGAAATCACAAGATGTGTAGCTTTTCTGGTACCAAAAATTGCTGCCAAGGCAAATAAAGGCTATAAATTTATTTAGCAAGCTCTGTGAAGAAAATCTGCAGAAGACTGAAGATGCTGCTACCAGTGCCTTCATCCCAGTTTCTTTGTCTTACTAGGATACTCAGTTTATGAAATCCAGTTCCACTTTTATCAAAAAGAGAGGAAACAGGTTTTTGGGTGGTTACTTCCAAAGTTCACAGGAACAGAAGAATCATTCTTTTTCTTTGTTTTTGAAACTGCTTCTGCAGATAATTATGGAGAACCTGTTATAAGTCATCTGACTACAGCTAGACAGATATCTTAGGATCTTCCTTTTGAATAAGTGTGCAGAACAGCAGAAACTCTTGATAGTGTCTTACTGGGTATGTTTTCCTTGTGAGCTTCTAGGGTGTGCCCCTGCAATTTCATTCTGTGTGATCATCCCCCTCTGCCTGGGGATGGATGAGGAGTTGACCGAGAGCTCATGGGTCAGGATTAAGGGAGGGCAGGGACAGGTGACTTTATAGTGGGGGTCTGCTACAGGCCACCTGACCCGGAAGACCGAGCGAATGAGACCCTCTGTAGACAGGTAGGAGCAGCCTCACGTTCACAAGCCCTGGTCCTCACTGGGGGCTTAACCACCCTGTTACCTGTTGGAGGGACAACACAGCAGGGCATAAGCAATCCGGGAGGTTCCTGGAATGCGTTGATGATAACTTCCTTCTCCAAGCGAGAGGAGCCAACAAGGAGAGGTGCTATGCTGGACCTTGTTCTCACCAACAAGGAGGGGCTGGTGGGGAACGTGAAACTCAAGGGCAGCCTTGGCTGCAGTGACCATGAAATGGTGGAGTTCAAGATCCTTAGGGCACCGAGAAGGGCGCACAGCAAGCTTACTGTCCTGGACTTTAGGAGAGCAGACTTTGGCCTCTTCAGGGATCTGCTTCATAGAGTGCCATGGGATAAAGTCCTGGAGGGAAGAGGGGCCCAAGAAAGCTGGTTAATGTTCAAGGATCACCTCCTCCAAGCTTGGGAGCGATGCATCTCAACAAAGAGGAAGTCAGGCAAAAATGCTAGGAGGCCTTCATGGATGAACAAGGAGCTCCTGGATAAACTCAAGCCCAGAAGGGAAGCCTACAGAGGGTGGAAGCAAGGACAGGTAGCCTGGGAGGAACGTGGAGAAATTGTCCGAACAGCAAGGGATCAGGTTAGCACAGCTAAAGCCCTGATAGAATTAAGTCTGGCCAGGGACATCAAGGGCAACAAGAAAAGCTTCTATACATATGTCGGTGAAAAAAGGAGGACTAGGGAAAACATGGGCACTCTCCAGAGGGAAACGGGGGAGCTGGTTACCTGGGATATGGAGAAGGCTGAGGTACTCGACAACTTTTTTGCCTCAGTCTTCACCCGCAAGTGCTCAAGCCACACCGCTCAAGTCACAGAATGCAAAGGCAGGGACTGGGAGAATGAAGAACTGCCCACTGTAGGAGAAGATCAGGTTTGAGACTATCTAAGGAACCTGAAGGTGCACAAGTCCATGGGACCTGATGAGATGCATCCGTGGGTCCTGAGGGAACTGGCAGATGGAGTTGCTAAGCCACTAGCTATCATATTTGAGAAGTTGTGGCAGTCAGGTGAAGTTCCCACTGACTGGAAAAGGGGAAGCATAACCCCCATTCTTAAAAAGGGAAAAAAGGAAAACCTGGGGAACTACAGGCCAGTCTCACCTCTGTGCCTGGCAAGATCATGAAGCAGATCCTCACGGAAACTATGCTAAGGCACATGGAAAATAAGGAGGTGATTAGTGACAGCCAACATGGCTTCACTAGGAGCAAATCATGCTGGGCAAATTTGGTGGCGTTTTGTTTTTGGGTTTTTTTTTTTAACTAGAAAAGAAAAGCATAATGAGAAGAAAACAATTTCAAGTTAAAAATATAGCACATCTAGCAATGATAATTTGCCATGTAATAACAAGGAATTAAGGGGAAGCTCTAAATTCCTAGATTTTCCAAGTCTTTGAGTCAAGATCAGTGCTTTTGAGAGACATGATTCACTTGTGATGCAGGTGTCCAGTGCTACATAAAAATATTAAAGCACTTAAATATCTGTGTAGCCTTAACACTAAATGTACTTCAGAAGAAACCTGGAAAGCATACTTTGAAGGCAGCTGTGAAAGGATTTCATCTTTATAGTAAACCTAAAGGAAGAAGCATAATAAGAACCATTTCCAAATTACTTCAATTGTTTCAGCTTTTGAGAAACAGCTTAGACATATATTAAAGACAACTTACAAAGTAGCAGTGGCAGTTTCATTAAAGGAATGGAATAGTTACATGATTATATTTAAGAGCACAGTAAACTGAGAAAAATCACTAGGTAGTGCCAACTGGCCTCTTTTTCTTTTTTTCAGTGACTTTTCCAATGGTGGAGATGGGATGTTGGCTACAAGTTCCAATGGATCTCAGTACAGTGGCTCCAGAGTTGAAACACCAGTTTCTTATGTTGGGGATGACGATGATGACGACGACGATTTTAATGAAAACGATGATGACGATTGATGCCCTTTGCTTGTAGACTATTTTTTGTTAAAATTCAGCAAGCTTCAGGAGTAAATTGTTCTAGGGAGAAGTGTCTCAAATTACTTTGCCCCATCCCTCAAGGAGAATATTGGTAAGCAGTTCTGAGTTTAGAAATTGCACCTCTGATAAGCAAACAAGGATTGTTTTACGTAGGATATTTTTAAATGTGGTGTGGATGTGTGTTTTTGATACCAGTGTGTTAATGCAGAGCCTTTATTTACTCTTGTTTTAGGGGGTTTTGGTTTGTTGGTTGGTTTTTTGTTTGGTTTTTTTTTTTTTTACTTGAAGGAAAATGGATTTTGCCCCATATGTTCTTGCGAAGTTTGCTAAAGAAAATGTAGACACATCATTGAGAAATAAAATGCTATCCTTCTGTGGAAAATGAATACACTGAATGGCAATTTATTTGGAGTGTATTTTGATTATGCCACTTTTTGAGGGATAGTGAGCTAATGTAGTAGCGTTTTTGTTAATCACGCAGTGTCCAAAGAACCAAACAAGAAAGATACGTCCTACTTTTTTACATGTTAAATTCCAGAAATGTTGTGAAGTTATTTTCCCTTAAATTATATCTAACATTATGATTCCATCAAGTTTATATACTTTTCACTGTATGTTGGGACATATGAATTAAAAAGTTTTTGGCAAATGTTTACTGCCAGTTGGTGCAGCTATATAAAATGTCTTGAAGGTTTGGAATGATTTATTGCTTATGGTAAAATTTGCCTGATTTCTTACAGGCAGACTTTGGAAACTTTTTATTATATAGTTGTTTACATACTTATAAGTCTATCATATAAAGACATGTACTGAAACAAATGTTTGTATTTGTTTCATAAGCATCTTCCTGTAATCTATTATAAAGTTGAAATTAAATATAGAGAATGTTTTACGTTTTTTAACTCAAAATTTGTCAATCATTTTTAATAGTTCATTTTTATAAAAGGAATTTCAGGGCAGGTGGTAGTCTTTTTAAATTTATTCACAAACAATTAACTGCACAAATACTGTCAGCTGCCTATTCTAAGACAGTAGTCTTTCTATTGAAACACAAATAAACTTTTCTGTAATATTTTATGGAATATAAAGAGACTATAATTGTTTTACTTGTTTAACCTTGGCACTGTTAGTTTTTATTAATAAAACGCGCATGGGCATTTTTAACAAGCTCTGTGGTTTTTCTAATTTTAGGGTTACTTTAGAACATTTCACTTCCTCTCGTCACAAGATCTAGAATTAACTGTCTCAGGGTACTGCATCTGCACTACAGAGGGCCCAGATTTTTTGCTTTGATTGAGTAATTTGTCCTTATAGCTCTTGGTAACTTATGACACAAAAAGCAGTATCTTACCCTGTATACTCTCTTCTTTCACGTCTCCTGTTGCCCCTCAGAGTGTCAGGCCAATCTTAGTACTCCCATGTCCTCAAAACAGGTCTTCATCTACTTTCTGCATACTTCTACCTTACACCTTTTTGTTAGATCACATCTTCTGCTCTCACCTGAAAGCACAGGTTACTGAACTGGCTCAGTTACTCTGCAGGCTGCTACCAGAGTCAGGATTTGTTGCTTCCACAAACTCCAGGGAGTCGCTGCAAAGACAACTTACAGTCTAGTAACTGTCTGTCATCAGGGCTCCTGGATGCACTTAAACCCTGTGGTAAATATAAAGCGTGTTATGTGTTTTTTCTCTGAGGGATTATGCCTTGACAAATCTTGTGTGGTAAGGGGATTACTACAGAGCAGTTGATACACAGTGAATGTTTTCTAATTGTATCAAACCTTGTAATATCATAGAATCGTTTAGGTTGGAAAAGACCTTTAAGATCATCCAGTCCAACCATTAACCTACACTACCAAGTCCACACTAAACCAATCAAGGGTAGACTAGACGAAACCATGTCCCGAAGTGCCACATCTACCCGTTTTTTTGAACACTTCCAGGGATGGTGACTCCACCACCTCTCTGGGCGGCCTGTTCCAATGCTTGACCACCCTTTCCGTAAAGAAATTTTTCCTAATTTCCAACCTAAACCTCCCCTGGCGCAGCTTGAGCCCATTTCCTCTCGTCCTATCGCTAACTACATGGGAGAAGATATGAGTGAACCAAGAAAATTACCTAATTTTATAGGCCTGGGAAAAGCTTTGTGGGGGCTAATTGAGTGTTTTGCTCCTCACTGAAGATGTCATTCTTTGCAGTGCTAATGCTAGAAGCAAGGTTCTTGTCATGGTTGAGTCAGCTGATTCAAATTACCTTAGCTGTTGAGTGGCAGTTTTATCTGCAGAGCCCAACAGTAGGTATCAAGGAACTTTTGGCAGTCCAAGGGGGTTATTCCTGTTTTCCCTTATGTTCTAAATCTCCAGTGTATGATCCAAGATTTACCTGCAAAGAGTGAGTACAGGCATGTTAGGTAAGAAGGACTGAAAGCTCTGATGGTTTCCTTTTGGTTCTTATCAGTGAAGTAGACCTCAGATGAGACAAGGTCAAGGTGGGAGTGAAAGTGTGGCAAAACATACATTTCAAAAGAGGTTATTTTGGTTGCTGATGAATCTCTGAAATAGAATTTGAGCGTTTAAACAAGCAGCATTGGAGTGGTTCGGGGGAATGACTCTATATTGCCTTTGTTTCAGCAGAATGTTCTAGTAAAGGCAACAAGCACTAACAAGAGAAAGTCTATGGACTTTTTCATTACTTGCTAGATTTCAGGGAGTTACCTGGTCATAGTGTTTGGGTGAAGGAGGAGAAAGAGAAAAGAAACCAGTGGTGAGGGAGGAGGTAGAAATGAGGAAAGGAGACTTGAAGTAGGAGGAGGAGGGAACCAGAAAAGAAAGAACAGATTGAAACTTAGGGTCTTTACAGAGGGGCATAAAAAGAGAAGGTGTAAGTTGGGAAGAAGTAATGAGAAAACAAGAGAGGAGTAGTCAAAGACTACAAAAAAGACTACTAGTAGAAACTTTATTTAATAAAAAAAGGAAAGGCAGAGGAATGTGTAGAACAGATGTAATAATGTCAGGCCTGGCATGAAAGGACCTGGAAAGTGGGAGGTAACTTTAAACTATATGGTTCTGATTTCTGAAAAGGGTGGTGCCACACATACAGATGGAGAAGGAAGATCAAAAGCAGGAACAGAATGTAAGAGGAAATCATGAACAGGAAATTGTTGAGGAAATCTGTGGAAGTAGAAAATATTGTAAGGAAATAGGAACTAGAATTCGGTTTAAGAAAGATTAAAAGATGGTAAAGGTAATGAGAATGGTACTAAGGGCTCAGTTTGGGGAAAAACATGACAAGGAAGGGGATGTGCACTTACTCCTTTCATTTGTCAGCATTTTTTTGTGATCTGAAGAAGAGGAGAAGTTGCAAAGTATGTGTATCTATATCTCTGAAATGGTCCTGCAGATAAATCCTGGGAACAGTGTGCATCTTTTACTGGTTTTTCTAAAGTGATACTGAGCTTTGAAAGACTGTCTCTACTTCGACATGGGTAACAAGAAGGAGTTCTTGAATCGTTTGTTTCAGAAGTAAACTGTTTTGTTTGTCCCATAGGAATTAGCTTGTCTTAACTAAAGAAAAGCCTTTATGATTTTGGAAACTTTTTTTTTTAAAATCTTCCTTCAATGAAGGGCAGCTATTGCAGAGAAGAAAAAAATAAATGGGGCTGATAAGGTAGCACCCTTGAAGGTGACCATTTAGTAAATTGTTCATGGAAGGAGATAACGGTCACAAGATAAATCTCTCCATTTCTTTATCAGTGAATACATGGGTTGTGAAATTTTCACATTAATGGGAAATCTGAAAATTGGATGTTGCTTGAATATAAAAGGGGTGAAAGGGGGGGGGGGAGCAGCATTGATATATTACTACTGGAATGGTCGTCAGTAGAAAGGAGGGTGTTTACACTGTTTTTCCCAGGTAGTCCATTGTTTCCTGTAGGGATTTCCTTTTTCTTGTCTGCTTACGGGAAGAGTAGTAGGCTATTTGTCTTGACTGCTACACTGCATTAACAACTTTCAGCCCTTCTCAGATCTGTCTGCTTCCAGAAAGATGTGAATATTATCACACACGCTTTATTGTTAAAGCCTTGCTTTACTTTAATTGTCATTCATTTATCAGGAAAAGCGAATCCAAGCCAGCACAATGACAGCAGCTACTTTCAATGTCATGATTTTCTAAATTTAGGATTTAAAATTTTCCCAAGGTTTTTCTTGGTCTCTGATTCCTCCCTGAGCTTCCACGGATTCTGGAGGGTTACCAAGATGCTCGGGGGGCTGGAGCAGTTGCTCTATGAGAGGGGCTTGTTTAGCCTGAAGAAGGGATGGCCTCGGGAGGCCTAATGGCAGCCTTCCAGTACTGCGAGAAGGTTATTGCGAAGATGGAGTCAGTCCACAAGCAGTGCATGGTGGGAGGATGAGAGGCAACACACACAGGCTGAAGCAAGAGCGTTTCCAACTGGGTTTAAGGAAGAGACTAGGATGGTCAAGCTGTGGAACAGGTTGCACAGAGAGGTTGTGCTGACTCTATCCTTAGGATTTTAAAGACCTGACAGGATAAAAGCCCTGAGTAATGTAGTACAACCTCATGGCTGACCATACTCTGAGCAGGAATTGGACTAGAGACGACCTGTGGTGCCTTCCAGCCTGAATTACCATATGGATCCCATAAGAGAGAGGAAAAGAAAACAAAAAAAATACCATGTATCAGTATCACAGACAGACTAACAAGTGGGTCACCTGGCTTGCCTGTGTACCAAAGACTCAGCAGAAAACGGATGGAAACCCAGCTCATCCGCAGAAGCCATGAAATGTAACCAAACTATGAGGGAAAAGGTAGGTAGATGAGTGGGTAGAAGCGAAGACTGTCTTCCTTTAGGATGAGGTTTCTAAGAAGCAGAAATACAGGTGATGCTGACAGCAGACCGAAGAAGGGCAATGACCGATATGCGCAGGCGTTTCCTACTTCCAGCATTTGGTTACACTGGTAATTCTCATCTGGCACGATGATGGTTGTCACCTAGGCGTGTGTGCCTCTCACTCAGTTGGAGAGCTGCTGTCCCCAGGGGGACATTCAAAGTACGTCAGCACTAACAAGTGAAACATTAACCAGAGGAAATCATGATTATTGATTCACAGCTTTGCTGTGATAAGGGCAGAGTGTCCTGATGTGACAGAATAAAGAAGAGAGACTGGCGTTAATTGAAAATCAACCATGTAATATCTTTACAAATGTTTTTCTTTGTTCTCCTAATGCCTCTCTTGTTTGTTAAATTTTTGGATGTTTTGAACAGGTTGAAATCTAAACTTGGGCTCAAAGATCTGATTTTTTTAGCATATCACTGTGTACGCATCGTGGTACATTTCTGCAAATATTGCAGTGATACCAGCCCTAACCTATCAGGAGGGCTGGTCAGAGCAGAATGGAAAGTTTCTGCATTGTAAGAAGTTAAAAGACAGCAAAGCTGCAGACTTTGGGCAAGGTTCATGTTCTTTTATCATGTAAACTTGAGAGAATTTGTTAAAGGAGAATATTAAGCACATACTTGAAGCTTAACTCTCTTAAAACAGGCAACCCAGGTACTTTATGCTAGGTAGAGAGTGGATCTCTGCATTTCTGGTGCTGGTTTTTAATGAACCTTGAAATAGTGAGTAAATTCTTACAGACTGAAATAATGCTAGAGTGCCAATTTTCAAAGTGATGTGAGGAAGTCCTGTCCAAATGTGGTCTAGACAGCCTGAGATCAGCCCTGAACCTCATACTAGAAAAACTGTTGAAGGAAATGGCTAAAAGAAAATTAAAAGCCTGGAAGGTTAATTATTAATGACAAAGTACAGAATAGGTCTTATCAAATGAATATGGGAGGAGATTGAAACTTTTTAGCTGACTGTGGAAACGATGGATATTTTTGAGCATCTTTAAGCCTTTTCTGTTTCATTGCATTCTGATTTTAAATACGTATTTTACAATACCAGCACGTTGTATGTTAAATGGTTACAAACTGTTTACTGCCGAATCAAAAATAGTTTTTGTGGCATTTTCACTGATTATCACTGCATCAGGTAAGATTGTACTTCTGGTTAACGTTTTCTCAACAACCCAGAAGAAAATTTTAAAATATTTTAAAGCGATAATGGTTAGAAAAGAAGTAAACAATGAAGAGGACATATTAAT